AGGTGGCTGGGCTGAATCTTTCAGAATACCAGACACTGGAGAAATTCTCCCAGGGGCAATGGCTTTACTATTCTAGGTTAGAACTTTCTTGCCACCGTGGGCATGCTTACAAGTTGGTTAAATAAGGCTGGGCTTTGCTGTCCGGAACAAACAGGCCTTTTCTCAGGTGGGAGGTTTAAAGTGTGATTAACCCGCTTCTCAGCCTTTATGAAAAGGCCTACAGTCTAGCCAGATGGCGCTGCCAAGGGGCCCCTCCTCCGTGGTCAAAGCTCCAAGCTCCAAGCTCCAAGCTCATTTGAGCAGAAGTGGGAGTACAAGGGGCCTTGGCTCCCCTGCTCTGAAAACAAATCCAGTGGTGAGCTGTTAAACTTTCCTGAAGTAGTGTTGAAACTTTTCTCCCTCTCCCGCATGGTGCTGTCAAGGTTATAAATGGACTTAGAGCTGGCAAGGAAAGTCAGAGTCCAAGAGGGGAATTTACCGCCTCTCCATGCCGTCCAGATTAACTAATTTCCAGCTAGTATGGCTTATACTTTTTAAAGACATTTTAAAGACTAAGTTTGCATTAGAAAACATAATGTTAGTGCAACTTTATTGACAACTGGATACTTGTGTCACACCAAAATGGCATGTGTCATGTGATTCATAAACTCTCTTAATGCTGAGGTGTCTATTTTTAATAGTCCAGATGGGCTGAAGTAATACACTACTTCCATCTGCCTTACCCCTAAATATACCATCCTAAAAGGAAGAAGCAAGTGGACTCTGGATTTATTTACCTTCTTCTGCTTGGGCTGGAGACTGGACTTGTGTTCACAGTGGGTGTGGTGTATCATCACTATTTTTATCTTGACTACACTATTTTTCTCAGCACATTTCCTTCAGGGTTTATATAGCTTTTTACATATCCTGTATCTTTAGAAGCAGCACCCACTGTTAGAATAAAGGGTACATATTTGAGTTTGCATATAAATAGTCTTTGAAAGCTTTAAGATTTGAAATCTACTGTATATAGATGTCTGGTTGTTCAGTACTAGTGGAAAACAGAAGAATATGTGACATTATAAATTGAGACTGGAAGAAAAGGTTAATAAGAGAGATGTGGGAGAGGTTTTCTGTAGTTATCAGAAGGCAAATTCTGATATTTTATGTAGAAATGACTCAATACATAATTCTCCCCAAAAGTGGGATGTGGACTTCAGAGCCAAGAACTGCTCACTATCTCTGTGATGCACTAACCAGGCAGCACAAGTTTTGGGCTTCTGGCAGTATTTTTTCCCCCTGTCAAGTCAGAGCCTCTTGAGATTTTAGCATATTTCTTTAAATCTTTTTTTTTTTGGTGGTGTTAGGGATTGAACCCAGGGTCTTGTGCATGCAAGGCAAGCACTCTTTATACCTTAAGAGGAGTGGTTACAACAAATATTCCCTGGACCCTTCTCCTATAACAAACCTTTAGCAGATTCTGGGACCAGGTCCCTTTAAAAACAGGCAGTTTCCATGCTATCTCTGATCATTCTAAACAGAGGCCTTTATGATAATGCCAGTTTGATTTAACTTCCATACTGAAAAATTGCTC